TATTTATTTATTTATTTATTTATTTATTTATTTGTTTGATTTATACCCCACCTATCTGGCCCACCAGACCACTCTAGGCGGCTGAGACTAAGGTATGTTATACTGCTTGGACTAGAACCTTGCTTTAAGGTCTGGGTTTGGTTACTTCTCAAAGACGAAGGCTCTGTTCTCCTAGTGTTTATTCACAATTTTAATACTCCTCATTACATCACCATCTACTCTTCGGGAAATGTAATCCAAGAGTTCCAGTATTTTTTTCTCCAGAAAAACAATGACAATATGGTTCGACAGCCTGACTATCAGTCAGATCTGCTTTGATTAGGATTTCTACACTGAGCAGGGTGTTGGACTCTATGGCCTTATAGGCTCCTCCCAACTCCATTATTTTATAATTCTATGGTAGTTTTCACCCAAGGAGAGTCTTTTGACTAGGAAAAATATATATTTCTCCACATTCTGCTCTGCTCTGCTGAACACCAAAATATTTCATGAGGGCCAAGTAAAATGTTTCTGAATTCAGCAATTGATAGTATGCACTAACAGTTTGCATTAGAACCTCTGAACAGCCTTTGCAAACAGAGCACGTACAAACCCTAGGAATAAGTAGCTGTAATGTGGTTTTAGCACAATGTTTTAATTTCACAATTTCATCCATTTTGTTCTCTATGATATGACACTAGGCCCAAAACAATTTTTTTGTCCTTAGTGAACCAAAATCTTTATTAAGGACAGAAAATTTGTCCTTAATAAAGCTAACTGATCAATGGCTAACTTAGTATTGCAAAGCTTACCAGTTTTTTTGTGAGGTTGCGGTCATTTTCCAGGGCTTTCCATAGTTTCTCCAAACACTCCATGAACTCCTCAAATCCTGATTCCTGCTTTAGCTCATACAGCAGGGAAGAGTAACCAAGCACAGCATCATGGAAACAAGCCACCCGGTCCACATCCATGTCATTCTCTCCCGCAGAGATAGAAGCCAGATCCACAAACACCTTAAGCTCATTTATATCTAAAAGAAATGAACCAAGATACGAGAAAGTTGACCATCCACCACTGCCTTCCTGGGGAGCATTCCAGAACCTTTTACCAGAGACACCTTTTTTTTCACCATCTTAACTGTATGAATGTTCAGTGTTTGTACTGCTACCTCAGCTTCCTTCACTTTTATGCAGATCTGTGCAGTGAAATAAATCATCAAGAGGGAAGCATAGAAAATTTAACGAGCTATTCCATTCCTTACTGGAGATATTCATCAGTATAGACAGGAAGCAAAAGGAGAACCAGTTTTGTTACAATCAATATACAATATAGATGTCTGCTCCTCATTTTTATGCACCATTGCCCCAAATCCATCCTAGCACTCTATCATTTAATGATGTCTACCATAAAGCAGCCAGAACACAAGATCAGCTATGCAGCAAGCTATCTGAAGTCATTCCAGCAATGTTAGTTGCATGGAACATAAATCATATTTTGTGTCAAATCTCATGTTTTGGGATCCTACAATTTGTTCAGGCAGCCATATCTATTAACCATTCAGACAATTTGTAACGATGAAAATGAGCTGTTTGCCGTTTCCTCCTTCCAGCCTTAAGAAACCCTGTAATCACCCTGTAACTGAAGAGGGAGAAGAGAAATGCAAGCACATGCCCTGCTTCCACCTAATCTCAGAATTTCTGAAGGTTCAGAGACCCCATGGTGGTGGTCCCTGGAAATTTATTAAAGCAGGTCAACCTTCAGAAAGGGTGACAGACAACCACAATCCAGGAATTCCTAAACAGTGCTGCTTAACACTACTAACCTTAGAGTTCATTCAGTGCAAGCTCATGAACACAATGTATGAGGCAGACATATGAGGCAAGGCACCATATAATTGCCACTAAATTCCTGCATTGCCAGGAGCTCCTGGGACAGAATGGACGGATCCCTGTGCGCATGGACATCAGATGGAGAAACAGAGTCCCCCTCCAGTTCTGCCCCACTGATGTAAAAATGCCTTTTCTGTTTGTTTTTCCCCTTTCTTTTGCCATAGGGTACATGGGGCGGAGTTGGTTATTCATCACTGTTTTGAAGGTTTTTTCTACATTAAAAAACCCCCGATTATGTACATATATAAAGGCTAAGTGTGTGCTCCCTTACAATGTACGAAAACAGAAGAATCCCTGGGACAGAGAAAAACGGTAGACAAGTAATAGAGAAATGAGAAAGGAGGAGTAACAAACTGACTAGGAGAGCATCCTGCTTTATGTGTCTTTCGCTGCCAATTTTTCTTGCTGCTCCATGGCAAATTTGTTGGGGAAAAGCCTATGACATGGTTTACCCAGATAGATTACCTTTCCCAGTTATGTTCCTGCAGAAGGCCAAGATACAAACAAACAAGCAGAGAAACAAACAATAGACGTGTATCTGTTCTACCTGTCAAAGCCTCTTTGACCCAGAGAACGAAATCTCTCCGGACTGCAAGCTCCTCAAGGCAGCTACGACGTAATTCAGTGATGTTTTGCAAAAGTTTTTTCGCATGCATCAGTGCAGGAGTCATGGAAGAGATCTTTTCTTGCTGAAAGGACTTAAATTCAACTGTCTGTAAAAATGAATGAACGAATGAGTAAATAAATAAATAGAAAAAGAAGTACCACACATTAAGGAAGCACGAATCCTCTTCCTTTTCTTTTGTGGATTTTCTCCGTTTTTCTGCCCTATGGTCTTGGGGATTTTTATATACCCCACCTATCTAATGTGACAAGCCATGACTCTAGACCAGTGGTTCTCAAACTTGGGTCCCCACATGTTCTTGGACTGCAACTCCCCAAAATCCTGGCCAGCACAGCTAGTGGTGAAGGCTTCTGGGAACTGCACTCCAAGAACATTTGAGAACCACTGGTCTAGACAATAAGCCAACACCATGGGCCAACACAACATTTATAGCACCCATAGGCACTACTTCTGACATTGTTATTTTTAAGATCTACAGACAGTAGATCACAAAGTACATATTCTTTGTTCCAACCAGTAATGGGGAGGATTTTTAAAAATTTGGTTGAAGGCGAGCTAAAGATGCTGGACTAGGGGACCATTTCTGTTTTTTTTTTCCTCTCCCTAAGACCAGGAACTATTTTTAAAGCAAACTGAGAATTATGCGATTTGATACTCCACAATAATCCTTTAAACAGGGTGTGTCTGATTTAAAACAAAACTTATGTAAGGAACCCCCCCTGAAGGCATTCCACTACACAAAGGAGCCACTCTAGTTGCTATACTCACCACCCTTTGAACCCCAGGCTGGGTGATACCTGGAGGGTGCATGACTCAACACTATGGGCAAATTTCTAACCTAGATTTTCACCTGTCTCATTACCCAAGACAGATTGTGCACTTTGTATTTGGCACACCAACCAGACAAAGTAGATGACCACCCAAAATAATAAAATTAGTGAATATACCTTCTTGGCCAAAGCACCTTCTTTAGACACTTTTCTTTCCCCCAAGGATCACATTGGGTAAAATATAAAAAGATTTATTAAAATTATAACATTTACATAAAGAATTCAAAAAGGAGTTTGTACAGTTCCAAACTAATGCAAAAGCAATAAGCAATGCATAATTAAATAAGCCATTTGAAAGCATTTCCCTATAAAATAATAAAAACTACTTCTGCCTAACCATTAACAGCCACCTAAATAATCATAGCTGAGCTTCTGCGTTTCTATCATCAGCAGAGGGACAGATAGGCCTCTCACTCAATCTAGCCCCTTAGGTAAAGGTAAAGCTTCCCCTTGACATTTAATCCAGTCGTTTCCAACTCTAGGGCGCGGTGCTCATCCCCATTTCCAAGCCGTAGAGCCAGCGTTTGTCCGAAGACAGTTTCTGTGGTCATGTGCCCAGTGTGACTAGACATGGAACACCGTTACTTTCCCACTGTGGTGGTACCTACTTATCTACTTGCATTTTTACATGCTTTCAAACTCCTAGGTTGGCAGGAGCTGGGACAAGCGACGGGAGCTCACTCTGTCGCGTGGATTCAATCGTACGACTGCAGGTCTTCCGACCTTTGCTTGATCTTAAATCTATGTTCCCCCAACATGATGTTATCCAATCAGATTCAAGTTCTTTGTCCACTAACTTCACCCTGAACATGTAACTTCTTTCAACCCTCTCCTTTCAATTCTCATGAGTCTCTCTTCTAACAAGCAATTATGAATGGAATGTGATGGTTATGGCTGCACATGCTACGTCCTTGAAGCAGCCAGGAACAGAGCAAAAGTCTTCTTTCTCATGTAGATAAAATGCCACCTGAAGAAGTATGGCACAACCCAATTGCCTCACAACACAGAGGGAGTATACAATGTCTTTGCAGCTGTGATAAGCACTTCAGGTCCCTGCACTCCTTGCTTAAAATGAAAGTACCTCATTTTAAAAAAACATGCTATGCCAACAACATTTTTCAGCATTGTGGTAGCAAAAATAAAGGGAAGTGGTGTTTTTAGCATTGCTTACAGGGGACCTTGAGGAACCACCAAAACAGCCAAAGGGCTGCATGTGGCTCATGGACATCTGTTGGTCACCAGTGGGCTAAGCAAAAATCCTTATTTCATTCTGTGCATAAGTAAGACTGCCTCAGCAAAGGCAAAGATTTCAAACCAGTAGAGCTAAGTGCACGTATGAAGGAATAACTCCGGACCTAACTTAAATGGTACCATATGCTACTACATCTGTATAGGACTTTGGTAGGTTTAGCAGCTGAGAGGTCAGGACAACACGTGGCCCATGAATTCCAGTACTTTTTGCACTTACAGAGATCTCATTGCACAGCTGAAATTTGGTGGTAGGTATAGCCAAGTGTTATATGTATTTAGAATATATGCATTCATGTAACGGACTTGAAGATTATGGACCTTGTTCAAGAACCACTAAAGATGCTCAAAGCTATGGCAGCGTGTATGTGAGATCTCTACAGTATTTCCCAGTGGCTATGAGGATTTACAACTCCTAGATGTTGACTTTGTTTGCTCTAAGAAGTTAATATTTATTTATTATTTATTTATTTGATTTATACCCCGCCTATCTGGTCCGAAAGGACCACTCTAGGCGGCTAACAACCATAAAAATAATATAAGACAACGAAAATAGACAATTCTAAAAAAGAAAGCACTACATTAAACCATATAATACTCAAAACAAAAAACAAAAATAGAAAAGAGGGGGGTCAAGAGGTGTATGATGGAAAGGCCTGCCGGAACAACCATGTCTTCAATTGCTTCTTGAAGACACCCAGCGAGGGAGACCTGTGGATCACAGGAGGTAAGTTGTTCCAGAGGCGAGGAGCCACCGCCGAGAAGGCCCGATTTCTTGTCTTCTCCTTCCGGGCCTCCCTCGGCGGTAGGCTCCTCAGCCTCACCTCCTGGCTCGCATGAGTGACACGGGTAGGTCTTGGTGGGAGTAGGCGCTCCACCAAGTATCGAGGCCCTAAACCGTTTAGGGCTTTATAGGTAAGCATCAACACTTTGAAGTCGATGCGGAATCAGATGGGCAGCCAATGCAATGTGGCCAGAGTGGGTGAAATATGTTGGTGTTTTTTCACACCACTAAGTAATCTGGCCAATGGAATGTGATGGTTATGGCTGCACATGCTACGTCCTTGAAGCAGCCAGGAACAGAGCAAAAGTCTTCTTTCTCATGTAGATAAAATGCCACCTGAAGAAGTATGGCACAACCCAAGTGCCTCACAACACAGAGGGAGTATACAATGTCTTTGCAGCTGTGATAAGCACTTCAGGTCCCTGCACTCCTTGCTTAAAATGAAAGTACCTCATTTTAAAAAAACATGCTATGCCAACAACATTTTTCAGCATTGTGGTAGCAAAAATAAAGGGAAGTGGTGTTTTTAGCATTGCTTACAGGGGACCTTGAGGAACCACCAAAACAGCCAAAGGGCTGCATGTGGCTCATGGACATCTGTTGGTCACCAGTAGGCTAAGCAAAAATCCTTATTTCATTCTGTGCATAAGTAAGACTGCCTCAGCAAAGGCAAAAATTTCAAACCAGTAGAGCTAAGTGCACGTATGAAGGAATAACTCCGGACCTAACTTAAATGGCACCATATGCTACTACATCTGTATAGGACTTTGGTAGGTTTAGCAGCTGAGAGGTCAGGACAACACGTGGCCCATGAATTCCAGTTCTTTTTGCACTTACAGAGATCTCATTGCACAGCTGAAATTTGGTGGTAGGTATAGCCAAGTGTTATATGTATTTAGAATATATGCATTCATGTAACGGACTTGAAGATTATGGACCTTGTTCAAGAACCACTAAAGATGCTCAAAGCTATGGCAGCGTGTATGTGAGATCTCTACAGTATTTCCCAGTGGCAATGAGGATTTACAACTCCTAGATGATGACTTTGTTTGCTCTAAGAAGTTAATAATATCTTTAGGACAGTAGTTCCCAACCTTGAGTCTCCTTAATAATATCTCTAGGACAGTAGTTCCCAACCTTGAGTCTCCAGATGCTCTTGGACTAAAACTCCCAGAAGACTTTGCCACTAGCCGTGCTGGCCAGGATTTCTGGGAGCTGTAGTCCAGGAACACCTGCAGATCCCAGGTTGGAATTCACTGTTCAAGAACAATGGTTCCCATATTTTGCTTGCCAGAAGCTGTTTATTTAAACTGCCATCATCTTTTCTCACAGACCATGCTGGTTAGGGTAATACAGGAGTTGTAGGTCACAGATATCTGGAGATGCACACTTGGGTACCAATGATCCAGAAGTTAGGAGTCCTCTGCCTTCTCAAGAAAACTTAAGAATAAGTGTTGTTAAACAAGCCAGCAGCAACGTTTATGTTAGTCCAGTTGTGTGTGTGGGAAAACACTGAAGATGAAGGGGCAGTATTGTTGACAATGGAGACAGACAACTTGAACAACATGACTGTACCCAAGGATGCCCAGTCAAGGTAAAGGTAGCTCGAAAAAGTTGCCATGTAGAACAATAGGCTTAAACATTTAAGGTTTCAAAAGAAGGAAGCTGGCACTGAATAAAGATGTTCGGAATAGTAAGCATAGAGTCTCTTTAATTCTGAACACTGATGTGAGGCTTTTCCCCATACACAGGAATTCAACCTAAGTACAGCAGTGGCTAGAGTAATGGAGTAGAAGTCGGGAGACCTGGGTTGGAATCCCCATTCAGCCATGGAAGCCCACTGAAGGGGGTGGGTGGGTCTGGTAAAACTACCCCTTCAATATCTGATTTACCTTTAAAGCCCTAGTAGGGTTACTTTAAGTCCAATCCAAATTGATGACACATAACTGCTGTAAAATATCCAGAACACTGCTTTGCATTAATGGCGCAGTATACAAATCCAAAAAATAAAAACATAAACAACACAGAAGTGTAACAAAAGCAAAAGTACAGGTGGAAAGAGGTAGCTGCTACAAAACGGTAAAATAGCCTGCTCCTCTAGGAAGCAAAAGAATAACTGTGTATCCCCACAAGCAGCCATACAATGATAGGCTGTCACAGCCATTCTGTAAGACTCAGGATCCTGCAGGGCTAGATATTTGATGGAAGACACAGAGCCAGCTGCATATCACAGTCAGAAGCACCATTCAGATAATTCCTGCACAGTCAGGAAATGATCTGACTCCAAGAGCTCACAAGGAAAAGCTGGGGCCTGAGAAGGCAACAGACGAGGGTACCAAAAAGACAGGCAAGACCCAACCCTGAGACAGCTAGAGAACCATTTGAAATAATTGTGACTTTCTTGGTCATTCTTCCTTCTTATTTATTCACTCTTTCTTTAGAGCAGAGCCAGCAAACTACAGTGGTGCCTCGCAAGACGATGTTAATTCGTTCCGCAAAAATTGCTCTTTAGCAAAAATATCGTCTTGCGAAATGCTGTTCCCCACTGGAATGCACTGAAATCCTTTTAATGCGTTCCAATGGGGAAAATAGTTGTCATCTTGCGAAAATTGCCCATAGAGAAACCGTTTTGCGAAGCATGGACCAGCTGTCAAAATCGCTGTGTTGTGAAAATCGGTCCCTTAAAAAATCGTTTTGTGATCTAGCTGTCAAAATTGCAGTCTTGCGAAAAACGGTCCCAACCCCCCCCCCCGTCTTGCAAAGCACAGACCAAAACATCATCCAGTGAAAATCGCCCATAGGGAAAACCATTTTGTGAAGCGCTATAGCGATCGCGAAAACTCACTGTCTTGCAAATACATAGTTTTGCGAGGTAATCATCTAGCAGAGGTACCACTGTACTTACTTCCAAACACTACAAAAGTAGAGACCAAACAGCTGTGCCTAGTTAAGGGGGGGAAACAGCCACAAGAAGAAAGGAAGTACGTAGCTAATCTTCAGGGCATCCTTAGGTTCAAAAAGATAATACCTCTTCCCTGAGTTAAGCAAAGAGCACCCCTGTGGCTGGACCACTAATAGCATTGGGGAGACAAGAAGCCTTATCTCTAGTGTTTGAATTCAAAACACCTTGGTACCCAAAGCACTGAACAATTTAAACCTAACCTGCTACTTGGAGATGAATTCTTGCCATTTTAGAACAGACTGATGCCAGGCATTTTCAGAAAATCACTTTTCAATGGAAGTGTTTTGAAAGAGAAATACTTACGAAGTTCAATAAATGTTGCAGGACGCTGAAGTCACCCGAGAGGTTCAAACCTTCCCTGACTTTGTCAATAACTTTTGCGGCGTCCACAGCTAAATGCAATTCATGGTATTGTTGAATTTGCTCAACCCTTTTCTTTATCCATTCTCCACGATCTTGAGACTGTAGGCTGCACATTTTCTGAAAATCCTTCCTTAATTCCTCATAAAGATTAGTAAAATCTTTGAAAAGCACATCCACCTCAGCAAACGTCAGGTCACCAGATCTTAGTCTAAGGTACAGCCTGTGGAATTCAGAGCGACAAGGCTCAAACAACTGGAGAGGCACTTCATCCAGACTCAAAGTGGCCGTGTCTTCTTCACTGATCAGATCCTCCGTTTTGCTTGCCAGCTGTTTCGCTGCCCATTCCCAACAATATTGGAAAACATGGCTGTCTTTAAAAGAGCCCACAGTTCCATAAATCTTCTTCAGGTCTGGGTTCAGATGGTAATAGGTCTCTATTTTACCATCACCATGAGACATCGCATCTTTCACATTCACAACCTCATCCAGTGCTTTTGAGGCCAGATCTTCACTGTACTTCTGTTCCACTTCATCAATATCCACTGAAAAGAGAGAGTCGTAACTTGTGACAAACTAATTTTCAAATGATTTGATCTTTTATCTTTCCTGCATAACAATTCACATCACAATGCACCAATCCCAAGAATTATAAAATAATTTAGATATATTGTATATGTATAAATATTTGCCATGTAGACCCACTCTTTTGACTGAGGAAGTGGACTTGTCCATGAAAGCTCACATTAAAATATACCAATTAGTCTTTACGTTACAAATTGTTTTTGTCTTTCTTTCTTGATTGTTTTTCTTTGGTTTTTTGCCTGATAAGTTTATCATTATTTCCACACATAGTTTATTTGGTTTACCAGATGTCAGAAAGTTCTGCTTCTCATTACACTTTGCCACCACTCCACCTCCTACTTTATGAGCTAATTAACAATAACGGTGAAGGAAAAGTATTAACCCTGTTTTGAAGGTTTTTTAAAAAGACAGTACCTTTTACATAATCTTGCACCTTCCTGCACATGTCCAAGAGAACTCCCAACAGCTGTCTCTCTTTCCTTACAACCTGTGCTTCTTGACGCCTCCGCTCCAGTACCCTTTCTAGTTTCAACTTATAGTTGGTGTTCTCCCCAGGTAAAAGATGCTTGCTCTCTGAAATGACAAATATTAATTACATTCATCAGTCAAGAATCTCCTCATTCGTGCCTTTGATTAACACATTGGATCCCAACTCCCAAAAAAGGATCTGTGAAAGACAAATTCGAAATGCCTATGGATTTTTTTAGTGCCTTCTCTGTCCCGATTGCTGGCTGAAGCTCCAGACTAAAAAAGTAAACAGCACCCCCATTCTCTCTTCCTTTGTTCTATTCCCCTCCGCTTCTAGAAGCTGCGGATGAAGCCTCTTCTGGACAGCTTGCTCCCTCCCTTTTAAGATACCCACTCCTTCCCCAAGCTCCCACAATAAGTTCTTATTATATCATCAATGCTTTTATGTATCCAAACTCAGGTCCAGCAGCTGGATCAATATTATACTTCCAGCTGGAAAGGGTGGCCATAATGGAGCACCCGTATGATTCTACGAAGATGCCTGCCACAAACCCATGGATCAATCAAAACCAATGTTTGATTCTCTATGAATTAGACATTTAATAAACCTGACAATAAACTACACCTTGAATAATCATATCATTAAAATATATTTTATTAGGTTTAATCCCAGTGTATACATGCAGAAGACATACTTACTCCATTCACAAATGGACAGAAATTGTTTTTTGTGCTCTGAAATTAGGTCCACGTATTTGACTAGGATGTGGCCTGTTTCAAGATTTTTTGAAACATCTATATATATAGAATCTGCAATGGCCATTAACTCTTGAGCTTCTTCAGTAAGTTGATCCAGAATATTGCCATCCGTACCTGTTAAAGAAGCGAAAGGTCATCTTCTTGGACTTTTAAACCACTTAAAAGTCTTCCCCATGTTAACTTGGAATTGCTTTTATAGCTTCTTCCCCATGTAACATGGGAACCACTGCATACAAGGTAGGCATTTTGCATTCCTCAGCTTCTCTGTGTTGCATTCACACACAAATTGCTACATTGCATGTCCCTGCACTAAAATAACTGTGATCCATTAAAGAAAAGATATTGCATAAAAGTCTACATCCAATATTACACTGCCAACTGGCCATAAGTGCATGCTGCTTTTGTCTCTGATTCCCTGCAATCTTCTGAACCATCAACAAACTAGTTCCAAACAGTTACCTACCACTCCAGGATAGATTTAGGAAGTACAAGTGTTGCAGTGAAGAGGGGCAGTGGTCCCCAAATCAATTCCACTGACATTACCAGTTCCATCAGAATCTATATACCCTAAAAGATCTTGCTTTCTACTAGAACACCTTGCAAATAATATACTCCTCCACTGAAAGTATCAATGAATGTACAAACAAACAAAATAGATTTCCGTTTCAACATCAGTTTCAAAATGCTTATTTGCTATCCAAAAGTTCGGCCTCTTAAATCAGTGGTCACATTTCAAAAGCTCAGAGGCCACTTCTGAAATGGACCAACTAACTCCTCAATGGTTGAGGAGCTGGTGGGTGTGAATAAATTGAGACACTGGGGGAATATGGCTGTATAGGTCAGTGAGTTAGGTATCAGGTTGTGGAGGCTGAGACTAGGAGTTCAATTCCTCATTGTACATCCTTGAAGAGGCAGGCTGTGTAGTCTGTGGCAAGCTGCACAGTCCCAGGACGACCCCCAGAAGAAGGGAAAGGACTTCTGAGTAGTCTCTACCTGGAAAATCCTAAAAAGGGTCACCCTAAATCAGAACCGACTTGACAGCAAACTACTGTACTACTACTACTCAATATGGGATCCACGCTGAATGAGACAGGAATAAGCCCCAGAGTGTTATTTTTAGCTGTTTCTCTTGGAATACTCTCCAGCTGCCACTTCCTTATCGTGGGGGAAGACCGTTTCAAGGTCTGTTTTATCTGTTTAGTCCTGGTGCCATCCAAATTAACAAGAAATGATTTCAGCTGAGTTGGGAGGGGG